TTCACTCTGGAGATGAGTACTCAAGCTTCACTCTGGAGATGAGTACTTAGGTTGGTGACGTTGAGGATGGCAAAGCACCTCTCCACAGTGCGGCTGGCCCTCACCTCAGCTGAAGGCTGGGATAGTTAAAACATTGGTCGGTTAAACTCGCCCAGAAAATGGGAACCTAGAGGCAGCCAGGCTTCTGGCTTAACTGCCCACGGCATCAGCTCTCCTTGGGTCTCTACCTCGGCGTTCACCCTGCACACTGTGGACCTGCCAGCCTCTGTGACTGCATGAGCCATACCCTGAACTATTCTATCCATCAGTCTTTCTCTTCCTCTCTCCTCTCTCACTCCTTCCCACACCCCACCATCAGCACACAGACAGACAGATACACTCTATGGATCCTTTTTCTCTGTCTGACCTAGAGCAGACCCTAGTTTCCTTCCATTGCTGAGATAAGATATTGGCTCCCATTTCCAGGTCACAGTCTATCACTGAGGGAAGTCACAGTAGGAACTTAAACAGGAGAGCAAAGGCTGGACGGCTCAGTATTCAATACAGTACTGAACATTACCTCCAACCAGGGAACTCACTCACAGCTAGGAGCCACAGCAGAAACGTGGAGAAATGCCACTTGCCACTTGCCACTTGCTACCCACAGTAGACTGGCCCCACCTGCACCAACTAATAATCAAGACAACTCCCTGCAGACGTGCTCACAGCCCAACCTGATAGAGCCAATCCACTGAGATTCCCTCCGCTAGGCTGTGAGACTCTAGGCTGTGTCAAGTGGACAGCTAAAGCTAAATAGGACAGAAAGTACTCATGCAGTGGTACTACAGGCCTGGACTAGTCAATCTAGAATCAACCCATTTCTGTGACTGGCAAGATGGTGGCTATTAGTAGAAGTCTTCAGTTCCTATGTAGACTTCCCATGGCTGCCTGAGTAACCTCATGTCATGGCTGCCTGGTTCTCACGAGAAGGACATCAGGCAGAAACTATCCTTTCTCTGACCTAGATTTAGAAGTCCTTAGCATCACTTCTGCCACCCTGATCTGAGACACAGGTCACATGAACAGTGCAGGGAAAGGACTGCAGGAGTTAAAGGGAGGGGAGACGTGTGGACCAGACCACAGGGAGGCGGGCAGCCCAGCAAAGCCTCAAGTGGACGAGACAACAGGGCGGAGTCCCAGCAAAGCCACAAACTATTTAAAAACTGGAAATGTGAGACCTAAAATGGATACTCACAGGACAGATATAAAGCAGCAAAGAGATGGTGGAAGGAAGGGTCAGTGGGCAAAGACTGATGGCGCCTGTCAGAAAAACCAGTTAGAGGAAATGACTAGCACCCCAGTGACGGTGGCAGTAAGACCAAACACACATGCAGGATAAAGAAAAGAGAACCACATGTAACGGTCAACTACTGCAATACGAAGGGCACTGTCTTAAAAACAGTGGAGAGGACAGTGACCAGCCGGCTGCTACAGCCAAACGTGCCAGAGACAGTAACTCATAGGCCACCAAACACCCAACTGTCACTTCATTCACAATGGCTTTAAACTAGAAAGACTCTAATATCAACCAACAGGGAATGGAGAGACAGTCTGTGACATGTTCACATCGTGAAACAACAAAAGCAGCAAATCAGCTCAGAGGGGAAGAAGGAAGGTGGACTGGGAAGTGCTCATGACGCTTTTCCTGGAGAGAAGGTGCAGTGCTTCTTGGTGTGTAGTTTCATGGTGGCTGGCATACAGCTGCCGTATCTCAGACTCTTAAGGGGATAAGTTTATTGTGTCTAAGTCAATCCTCAGTAAAACTGATCTTAAAACAAAGAATTAACCAGAGACAGAAAGACACACCTCGACACACAAGGGGACAATGACAGCTGACATCACATTAAAAACAGGCTGAGAGAAGCAACAGCACATCAAGTAAGAAACCCTAGCTGCGGTTCCTCTGATGATGGGGAGACAGTGGCTTAACCTCAGCATGGCTCAGAAGCCACATGAAAAGTCCAGAGGCCAGCTAACAGTCGCAGAAGTAGGCACGCTCATCGTGTGCACTGTGTGGAAATGGTACGAACAGCTGTTGGCTACAGCAGTCAGCTCTGCCCTGAGCTAACACAGTTCCTAGAGACCAGGAAGAAAGGCTGATTGTAGCTTCCCCGTGGAGGTAATGAGAAGAGGGACATGGGCACCCCACATTCCAGCTTCCCATAGCATTGCTGGCTCAGGCTGAGCACTGAGGAGGATCAGCACGCTGTGGCCTGGGGGTCACCAACACCAGATGCCCCGGGGGCTTTGGGATCTTTGCCTATGGCATCTTGAACTCACACAGCTCCATGGGCAAGTGTCCGGGCTTTTCCCCTGATAGGAAAGGAAGAGGGGAACTTATGTCTGACTGTGTCTAATATCTGGCATTCAGGAAAACTGTTTCTGCCTCACTAGACTGTGGCACAGGTAGAGCTTTTATGAGTCTAATTTCCTCATTTTCTGAAAGTAGAAAACAGAGGACCAAGTTGAGGCCTGCCTTCTTTTTTAAGTGCAACTGTTAACAGCTGTGACTTTTCATCCACGATGACTTACACGGTCTACACTGCATGCATGTCCAGAGACATGCGATGGGAAAACATAGAGAAATTCTACTTTCACTCAGTTGACACAATCTAGTCAGTCTGTAAGATTTGTTGTGGTAACTCCTTATTTCTAACATTGGTAATTTATCGGCTGTTCTTGATTATTCCTCTAGAGATTTTTTTAAAAACCCAAATATTTGCCTTGTTAATATTCTATTTCATATTTCACATAACATTCTTATAATTTATTTCCCCAACATACTGAGACTAATTTGTCTCACAATCTAAAATAGTATTAACTCAAGTCTTCCCTTTTTTAAAAAAAAGATGTATTTATTTTATTTATGAGTACACTGTAGCTGTCTTCAGACACACCAGAAGACGGCACTGGATCCCATTACAGTTGGTTGTGGGCCACCATGTGGTTGCTGGGAATTGAACTCAGGACCTCTGGAAGAGCAGTCAGTGCGCTTAACTACTGAGCCATCTCTCCAGCCATCAAGCCTTCATTTTTAATGTACATGTTTACAGACCTTAAATTCACTATGTCATATCACAGTATCTAGTGTGATGTTTTCCTACTAAGATAAAAAATATTTTCTATCTTTCCAATTTTTGTAGGCCCTTTTGTTACTCAGAATTAACTAGTAGTAAAATATTGGGGTAATCTAAATAGCTTACTGATTCTTAATTCAATTCCATTACTGTCAAGAATATGCTCTGCAGTATGCCAGTCTTTAAGATTTTTATTAAATTGAGAAAATTCCTTTCAATGGTACTAGAACCGAATATACACATGGAAGAAATAAAAGCCAACCTACGCATACAATTAATTCAAAGAGAATCACAGATCTAAATATAGTTTCTAAAAGTCAACAGAAGAAGAAAACTATACAGCCTGGGGGTAAGCAAACATTTCCTAAAATACAGGAAGCCCTATTAATAAAAAAGAAAAGAAAAAACCTTGGCAAAAGGTCTTTACCAAATTAAAATACTCTGGCTATCAAGAAATAACTTTAAGAACATTGAAAAACAGGGGCTGGAGAGATGGCTCAGTGGTTAAGAGTACTGACTGCTCTTTCAGAGGTCCTGAGTTAAATTCCCAGCAACCACATGGTGGCTCACAACCATCTGTAACGGGATCTGATGCCCTCTTTTGGTGTGTCTGAAGACAGGGACAGTGTACTGAGTACTCACATACAATAAATAAATAAATCTTTACAAAAAAAGAAGAACATTGAAAAGCAAACTATAAATGAAGAAAAAAATTATAAAAAATGAATGTAAAGAGAATTTATATAAAGTATGAATAAAATATTAAAATTATAAAATGGGAGGAAATACTACATAAGCTTATGAAAAGGTGCTCAATATCTTAAGTCATCAAGAACACAGACATTTCACATGGACCAGAGCAAATAACAGAAACATTGGCGACAGCTGCTGTAGGCCAGGCTGCCGCAGAGCCGGCCTTCCTGTTTATTGATGGTGAGAATGACGGTGACAATATAACACAGGACGACCACTCAGGTTTGAGTATTTCTTATAAAGGTAAGTACAGATGCCTTGTCCGAAGTGGGCACAGCATCAATCTTATGAAGCTGAGCATATACCTCCCCTCTGACTGACTAATCTATTCCATTCATACGATCCCAAAGACCTAAAAACAGTCATCCATAAAAATAATAATAATAGCCAGAAAGTAGAAGCAGCTCATGTGTCTGTCAACAGGGGAACCAACACACAGCAGCAGCATCACACAAAGAGGAAAGTGATGGCGGATACAGTCACATGAGATGATCTCAAAGGCATTGTGTAGGACAAGCGTCCCCAGTGACTGTCCGCTGTCATGATGCTGTGTATACAAAGCTCAGCAAGAGAGAAGTGGTCTGTGGTGACGGGGGACTAGGAATGGAGAACTGGGTGAAGTGCAGGGCACGCAGGCCTCCTGGGGTAACAGAAAGTTCCACATCCTGTCTAGGATGCCAATTCAACTTGACAACACAGTTCAAAGAACTCATCCAATCATACACTTAGGATACACACCTTTCATTACATATACATTTATCTCAAGGGAAAAAGATAAAAACAGCTTAAGAAAACTTCAATATACAAGGGGAAATCAATTTTTCAAAGTACCTAAGAAAATTTTTTAAAAATATTTAAATAAGAGTTAGTGAAACCCAATTTTAAAAGTAAACTCAAGTGGTACCAAACTTATCAGCCCAAGTGCTGCTCTGAAGCTGGGTTTCTCTGAGATGCGGAGGACATCACGTGGTCTCTATTTCCATCACTCAGACTGGCCTTCTAACACCACAGAGGTCTTCAAAGTGCCAGTGATGCAGAGAAATAAATAGAAAAGGGTTAACAGGAAATGACAGAAACTTCCAAACCCAGTAAAAGGCGGGCATCATACCTGTCGGGAGGGGGATGTAGATCCTTTTCTCCAGTCTCCTGCGCAAAGCTTCATCGATGTCCCACGGGAAGTTTGTAGCAGCCAGGACCATCACCATTTTGGATGGATCATCATTTTCTAAGGCTCCTCCAACTCCTGGGCACAGGGAGCAGGGAGAGGCTGTCAGTGTCACCGTGATGGCCACTGAAATCCTTTCCCTCGGCCAGCATCTCTAAGTGTTAGCCACAGCTCTTGGTGAGGCCTCAATGAGGCAGCTTCACCATCTCTGAGGCCTCGACAGAGCAGCAAAACCATGTGTCCACACAAAACAAAACTGAGGAGCTGAAGAATTCAACAGCCTAGGGCAGGGCTCTTTCCAGCTTTTCTGTAAGAAAGCAGTGCATAGAGCTTCTGAAGACTTGGAGTCTGGGCTCTACTTAGTCCTTTCATGTTTTCCCTATCAATTGCCTCTTTTCTGATTTATTTGGGGAGGGGTAATAATTGAGTTGGCTTTCTCAAGAAATGAGAACAGCTGAAACACTGCATAGTGTTTTATGACTAGAAGAAGCATTGTCTGTGTCTTCACAACTACAGTTTTAGGATTAAAACCTTTATCAGAGGCAGATGAATCTATGTGAGTTCAAGGCCAGCCTGGTCTATGTAGAAAGTTCAAAGTCAGCAAGATCTACAAAAAAGAGAGAATCTGTCTCAAAAACAAAAACAACAACAGAACAATAATAACAAAAAGTTTGAGGGTACACAATTGGCACAGGGCAATGCACAGTGAAATATTAATTCATTTGTAAGTTCACAAATATGATTGTTTATCAAGCAACCCAGTTCAACATGCATAATAAATAAATGATTACTAAATATCTTCTTAAATCATTCTTATGAGGAATAAATTTCTCCAACTAACAAACAGCCATAAGTAACGTTAAATGAAATCCTGCTAGTTGAATGTGTATCCAATTACACCCTGGCCCCAATTTTAAATATCTAGTGTTTCCTGTTATGCTTTCCTCCAAAATAAAACATATTACTTCCTTTCGTATATAAGCAGACACTAACATGGACTGACTGAGGGATGAGTGTTCTGGCACACTGTGTCATTGTTGGGCTCTACGAGCCTGGCATCGTGTACCATGTGATGTTAAGTACCCATCCTAAGTGCAGTGGCTTGAGTGAAAATGGTTCCCATTGGTTCCGATGTTTAAGTGCCAGATCCAAAGTTTGTGGAACTGTTTGGAAAGGATTAGGAGGTGTGGTCTTATTGGAGTAAGTGTGTCTTTGGGGATGGGCTTTGAGGTTTCAAAAGCCCAGCCCAAGTTGCAAATCAGATGTGAGCTCTTAAGCCATTTCTCCAGCACTATGCCTGCCAGGCACCCCACCGTGATACTAATACTAACCCTCTGAAACTGTAAGCAAGATCCCAATTAAATGCTTTCTTCCATAAGTTGCCTTGGTTGTGATATCTCTTCACAGAAACAGAATAGTAACCAAGACACTGGGTGTCCAAAGCTGATAGATGATCAGAAACAATACCTGCTGGATATTTTAGACACATTTTCACCTTTTCTTGTGGACTGCTTAAATTGCCTGCTGTCTCTCACACAACTACCAGAGTGAGCTGACTCCTAGAAGTGCGGCACTCCAACTCTCTTTCTTGGTTCCCCAAATGCTTTTCCTCTTTGTCTGGACAATTCTAGCCAGTGTATCAAAGCCCCTCTGCCTTGCAAGCTGCAGCCCTCCCACCCTGACCACTGTGACTCCTACACCCAGAGTTCCCTTCTGCTACAGAGGGGACCACTGTATGACTGTCTAGTCAGCTGTTTGCCTCTGATGTAGCAGCTGATTAGTCTCAAACGTTTGGTCTCAGAACTTTAGATGTTCTTAAAAATCCCTGGAACTCTAAAGAGCTATCATTGTATGGAGTATGTCTATTAATATTTGCCATTAGAAACCAAAGTATAGGAAGGCTAGGTGTTGGCTCAGTGGTGTTTACCTATCAGACACGAGCCTCCAAGTGCTAGCCCCAGCTCCATAAGTATGTAGATAGGTAAGTGGATGGATGGATGGATGGATGGATGGATGGATGGATGGATAGATGGATAGATAGATAGATAGACAGATAGATGGACAGACTGTTCAAAGTATTAATTCATTGTAAAAATAAGGCTCCATGACTCATTAAATTAAGATAAATAACATATCTTTTGAAAGACAAGCATAGTTTTCAAAAATTCCCAAGTCTTGGTTAGAAGACTTTTCAAATGGCTTAGTATATGAGTAAATAAGAGACTAGCTGCCCTCTTCCTCTGCCTCCATGCTTTGGGACACTCGGGTTTTGTGAACCCCGGAATACTCTACTGCATACTTGTTAGAGAATAAAAGCAAAGCCAGTAAATGTGCCTTGATGTTGTTGAAACTGTGTAGCCCCTGTAGAGCCCTCCAGTGGTCTGAAGGCCTCACACCTGTAGAGCCTTGGTGGGCACAGTAGGCCTTGGCTCTGTAACCTAGAACCCGGACTGGTGCATGGTTCACTGTGGACATCCAAGGAGTCATTTAGGATGCATGAACAAGTGGGTGGTTGAGGAACTGATTAAAATCGAGTCACAGCTGCCTCTGACCTGTTCACTGAGAACTTTCAAAGTATAAATCCGACAAAGGTGAGAAGGAGGGACGTTTGAGACACTCGTTATGTGATAGTTACCATCCATCTGGATGAGGAGCTCCGACTTGACTCTGCGGCTTGCCTCATGCTCGTCAGATGTCCCTCTTCGACTGCAGATAGAATCTATTTCATCGATAAAGATCGTGGTAGGGGCATAGAACCTAGCCTTGGGGAGAATATGTTAAAGCGACCATTCAGTGATTTCATAAAGCACTCTGTATTTTTAAGTAGCTTTTGGTTTTCCTTTTAAAATAGCGGCGAATGAAGGCTGCAATTTTTGTCTATTAAAACTGCCACTACTACCTAGTCATTTTAGAAAAAGCCAATCCAAAAATAAACTTACATAGTTGGTGATGCTGGATGAAAGATGCATGGAGATTATATTCTTTTTCTACTATCTATTTGTCTGTTATTACTTTGAGGCAGGTCTTATTGTGCAGCTCTGACTGTTCTGGAAGTGGCGATGTACACCAGCCTAGCCTCAAACTCAAACTCAGAGATCTACCTGTCTGCTGCCCAAGGCATATGCCACCACATCTGGCAATTCTTTCTTGTTTTATGATGAGAAATTTCCATCATGAAAAAAAAATCTTCTTGGCAACAATTTTAAATAAATCAATAACTAATGACAGATCTTCTTCTAACTGACTTCTAAAGTCTTCTGTTTCATCAGTGTGCTAGATGCCCAAACTGTCAATCACCCTCACTGGCCCTTTCCCATCTCATAGAGAAAGATGCACTGAAGACACACCAGGTATCCTACAAAATCCACTATGACCGATGTGTCTACGACTAGTACAAAACAACACTTCTGTTCTCAGAAGATCGCAAGGTACACAGACCTGGATTATGAGGAATCGCATGCCCAGATAGATGAACAATATCTGGAAATCTGAATATGGTATCAATCACTTACCATTTCAAACAAAAGACGGACCAACTTCTCAGATTCGCCTCTGTACTTAGATGTCAGAGTAGAAGAGGAAACGTTGAAAAAGGTTGTCCCACATTCGGTGGCAACAGCTTTAGCCAGCATAGTCTTACCAGTCCCTGGAGGGCCGACCATCAGCACACCCTGAAATTTCAAGATGAGTTAAACAACACACTATATTTAAATACTTTCCATAAACTACCATCATCTGATAATACCGGTGTATGTGAGGATGCCCACTAAAACACAGACTCCCCTGTTGTCATGGTGAGATCAGTGCATTTAGGAAGTGTATCAAGAAAATGATGAATGCCAGATGTGGTGGCGTACACCTTTAATCCCAGCATTCTGGAGGCAGAGGCAGGTGGCTCTCTGAGTTCGAGTCCTGACTGGTCTACAAAGTGAGTTCCAGGACAGCCAGGGCCACACAGAGAAACCTTGTCTCAAAAAACAAATAAGGAAACAAGAAAGTTCTTTCTCCAGGTATCTCTCTCAGGTCAGAGGCAGCCAGAGATAAGCTCGTAATTGATGGTCTATGCAGGTATGGTGGCTCACGTCTATGATCCTGGCGTGTAGGACGTATGCCTAACTGTTCTGGGGCTGAGGAGATGGCTCCGTGGTGAAGAGAAGGTGCTGCTCTTGCAGAGGAGCTGCGCTCAGTTCCCAGCACCCACATAAAACTCACAAGCACCTGTATTTCCAGCTCTAGGAGATGCAACGCCCTCTTCTGGTCTGTGGCGTCACCTACACACACACACACACACAAAGAGACACAGTTTAATTTGCTTAATGTTTTATTTACAGAAAAAGATATCCAAAAGTTCTTAAAGATTAGCCTCTATCTCAGCACCTAAAACTCATGGCTTTGAAGACGGCAGCCTCCGTGCTCTAAGCCCATGTCTCTTGCTGTGTGGCTGCAGCATTATCTCAACTACGAAGTCCCAGCCAGGTGTGGAGGTGAATGTGAGCTGCCCAATGGACTGACTGATGGTGTCAGCACACAGGTCCACAGCAGTGTTGCCCAAGCATCCCTACTCCAAGGCTGTCAGACGTGCTCACCTTCCACGGCCTTCTAATCCCTTTGAAGAAGTCAGGCATCCACATGGGCAGGACAACAGCTTCTCGGAGCAACTTCTTAGCTTCCTCCAGATCTGCTATGTCATCCCTATGAAAGAACAGTTGCATGTTTATTCAAGCCACACTTCTGACTTATGGCCAAAAGGTTATTACTTTAAATTTGTTTACTTATAAAACTGTTCTTATATTAAGACTATATTCTAATTCCTTTTTTAAAGATTTATTTGTTATTTATATGAGTATACTGTTGCTGTCTTCAGACACACCAGAAGAGGGCATCGGATTCCATTGCAGATGGTTGTGAGCCACCATGTGGTTGCTGGGAATTGAACTCAAGACCTCTGGAAGAGCAGCCAGTGCTCTTAACCACTGAGCCATCTCTCCAGCCATTCTAAATCTTACTATACAAAAATGATCAGTGACAACATCCTAGCATTATTAACTAGGACACATTATGCAGCTAGCAAACTCTGTCAGCATGTCAACAGCAAGTTAACATGTAAAGCGTCCTGGGTCAGATGCTGACAGAATGGTTATTACAGACGAAGGCATCATCAGGAGACTGGGGAGGAGAGGAGATTCACAGCAACCCACCCTTATGATGAGTTTTCTTCTCCACTATAATTCAAGACTCTCACCAGTGAATGCTAGGGTTCCTGGACACAATGTCCCTCTCCAGGGCTTCCACCAGATCCTTATCATACCCAGCGCCATCAAACTTGGGAATCTCACCATCGCTTGCGCCATCTTGCATATTTTTCCTTGCCTGGAGGTATGAATAAAAGAAGTTATGGCCAGTGACAAGATAATTCTAATTGAATCATTAAGCTTTCGCTATTTAATGTGTCTGTGTATCCATGTATGTGCATGTATATCCATGTATGTGTGCATGTGTGTCCACATGTCTATGGAGTATGTGCATGGGTCAGGGGTCAGAAGTGAGACCCAGAGTAGGAATGTTCTCTTTAAAAATATCTTCTTATAATTTAAAATAGTATCTTCTGATTGCCTAGATGCCATCCTACCCTATTTAATTTAGCAGAAGTGTCTTGGCTGGTCAGACTTATGTAACCCTCCTCACAGCTACATTCCTTGGCAGACAGTCCCAGGTAAGAGCTCACTAGCCCTCACTGGATCCGACAGGGGAAGCCTGCCTCTGACTCACTGGATACAAAGCATTTGCACCTCTGCTAGAGAACAGAACGTTGATGTGCAAAGAGAAAATTAATTACTGAGCACTGGTCTTATGACAGAACATCTCACACGGTGCTCACGTAATGTAACAGCCCAACGGCGGCTGCTTTTCCTTTCTTTATGGATAAGGAAACAAGCCTTGGGAAAGCCAGGTAACTAAGTGCTTCTCTGCTTTTCTGCAATAGAGCCCTAGCTGTCCTAGACCCATTTTGCATACCAGGTTGGCCTTGAACTCAGAGAGATCCACCTGCTTCTGTCTCATGTGCCACCATGCCAGGTGCTTCTTGGCCTTTTGACTAAGATTAAATGTAAAAACTAAGTCAGACTCCATTTACCAATAAACATTGGGACAGGAAATGTAACTCGGGCCTTCCTGCCTTCCTTACGAAGCCCCTTTCCTTGTCCAATCTCACAACTGACCGAGCTGCCCAATAGTGCAGTGAATGGCTGAGCTGACAGATCCCCCAAGCAGCTAGTACAAAGACTACAGGCAAGATGGACCTGTGACTCTTACTGCTCTTACAAGCTTTCTGAGTCACCACACAGGACACAATGGTTCCCTTCAGTACAGCTCTTGGGGCCCCATCACAGAGTTACTCATCATGGCCCAGAGCAAACACTGTAGTAACATCCAACCCAGCTCTCCTGTCTCCTTTGGCTCAGGACCTTTCAGACTCACTGCCCAGAGGACCCTTTTCAATCACAGCATCAAGACCTAAAGAAAAGTTTAATCTATCCTAAATTCGTTTACTAATGTTGTGTCTTTAAGAAAAAAGAAAGGATTCTAGGCTCTGATTCTCTGAGCTACAGGGCTCTGCAGGCTTCCTGCAGTGCTGAGGGGGTGAGTGTGAAGATGCTCTGACTTCTCCGGGATTTCAACCACAAGAACAGCTTTAATGAGTAGAGCCACGCCCCTTCAAGAACATCAGCTCCTTTTCATCTGATATAAAAATGAAGGGCTCAGGGTTCCAGTGGGGAGACAACAGAACATGATAGACTTCTCCAGTTCTACTTCTGAGGTGAACAGAGAAGCACAGCCAGTACCAAAAGAGAACCAAATGGCTCATGTGGAGGATGTTCTGATCTTCTGAGCCACCAAGTAAATGGTCAAACAGTGTGTTCTGGTGACCCGATCTTGTGGATTTACTTACTTGGGCAGACTAGTGCTAGGGCTGGGTTAAGTGCTTTGTAATATCCTTGTAGCTAAAGTGGCATGTATTAAAACTGATTCTATTAAAACAAGCTTCTAGCATAATGACACAACAAACAATATCAACGAACTTAAAACCAGCTCTGTCTCAGACCACATTTTACAACATGGCTAGGCCATGGCTACGAGTCACACACAAGTCAGTCCCTGGGAAGGCTACAACCATCTTCCAGTACTCTAGAAACAAAGTAGTGAGAGCATCAACAGGAGGAGAAATTGTGATTTGAGACTTACCACATAGAAAGTGAAGTAAAAATTTCACTTTTACACAAGTGCCCACACAACAGGAAGGCTCAGCTCGATACACACCAAGAGGAAGGATCTCTGTCTCAAAGAAATGGGAATCACGGGACTGTCCGAAGCTGGCTGTGAGCAGGTATTACACAGCTCATCCAATTGCAAGTGTGGTTTCAAGGCAGGGTGAGGATGCACCATGGCTCTCACTGAACATCTATCTAGTCCCGTGTGGGAAAGCCAAGCTGTCGATGTGACTGAGGGTAGGATGAAGAAATGGGCAGCACCCAATCTGACCAGCACTTCAGACAACCCTAGTGGCTACTACATGGAAGGATGATGGGCAGGAGGAGGAATCAGAGAAGTAAAAGCCTTGTGTTACAAACATAAATCAGGATGGGGAGAGCTGATACACATGCCGTGTGCCTGAGCAGAAGCAGCCGACTATGCGCCACTTCAGTAAACAGACAGCTTTCAAGCAGTGAAGCTTACACAGTCACCTGGGACACTGGGACTTACACAGAACACTGGACTGGAATGTCACAGAGTGACCTCAGAACTCTTTCCTTAGATTTGCGCACGAGTCATTAAGGTCAGAATTAGCAACCATTTGAGAGTGTGGAGGCTGATAGTCATTTTTTCTTTTCACTAAAGCAAATAGTTAGCTTCTTTGTACTAATTTCCAAATTATTCAAATCAAGACAACTTCCGTAAGGCTCTTTTGTGAGTCATGCCTCTCATTCTATCTGAAGAGAAGGAGGCTCTAAGTGACAAAGAAATATTTATAGCTTGTAGTCAGTAACTGACACAGCCTGTCCCCAAATGCAAATAATATGTGCATTTTTCCTTTGCAGCTTCTCACACGTGGGACTGAGTGATTAAGATCCAGACAGCTCCTGCTCTGTGCTGTGCGTTTACAGACACCTTGTTGAGTGAACTATACCACGGAACGATGACCAGCTGATAAATGTCACACCATGTGGAGGAGGATTCCAGGAAATGTGGGCCATGGAAGCTGACGAGCTACTGCTGGAACCACCACCCACTAGCTGCTCTGTTACTGCAGAGGCCAGTATGAAGCATACCCTTCTTTCAGCGTACCTGACTTTCTTGTCAGGCAGTGACTACATACAGTCACCAGAATGTCTTGGCTGATCTATAGATGGCCTGTGGTTCTTTCTATAAAGCTGCTGCTTCTCCCATGTCCAACTTACCACTGCTGCCTGGACTCAAGAGCGGAAAACAAATGCAAAATTTCTCAGACATATCATTACTTCTTTCCTTCTTTTTTCTTTCTTTCTCCCTGCCTTCCCTTCTTCCCTTCCTTCCTTCCTCCCTTCCTTCCTCCTTCCTTCCCTCCATCCCTTCCTCCCTCCCTCCCTCTTCTTCTTGATGCTGACATCACATCAATGGCTGGGTAAACACTTATCAAAGAACTACATTCTCAGCCTCAATATATCAATTATACATAGTTAATTGTTTTTGTTTTTAAGTGTGTCTGTGCGTGCGTGCGTGCGTGCGTGCGTGTGTGTGTAAGCCAGGGACATTAGATCCCCCTGGAGCTGGGGTTACAGGATTGTGAATCACCTGATCAAACTCAGGTCCTCCAGGAGAGCAATATGTGCTCTTAACCATTGAGCCATCTCTCCAGGTCCAATATCTCATCTGTAAAATGCTAATTCTGTATAATCTTCTTCATGCCTCTGTTTGCCCCCACTGTCACGTTAGTCTAACAGCTGACATCCGTGCTGCTCACTGCGTTGGTATCCTGGGAACCTAGCATGTAAGCATATCATTCTAAGAGAAGCATGAAATGGACATTCTCATTCCCATCTTACAGATGAGAAAACTGGCAAACAAAGTCAGGAGCCTGTCTAAGCAGGAACAGCAGCCTAGACACTCCAGCTGCGGGCCCGTGCTTGCAGCCAGTTTGCAGGGCACACTGCTGCACATGGTGACTGCTTCCACCCCACAGCAGAAGCAAACATAGGAAATGTTAGACAAGGACCCCAGCCTGCAGTCCACCAGAGCCCTACTGTCCCACACAGTAACGCAGGCAGACGATGCAGAACGCACTTACTGACATGAGTGCAGTGCTCTGTACTGTCCATTCAGGACAGGAGGAGTGTAACAACAGATCCACAGCAAGCTCTATGCTTACCAGTATGCATGCTCTTTCCACAATATTTATGAGCTGGTTTAGTGTGCCAGGCTCTGTTCTAGGCACAGAGAATACAGCAATAAGCAAACATACAGAGACCTCTGCCCCTGTGAGGCTTAGGCTGAGGTCAGAGGACACAGGAACAGGTGCTCTAAGTGGCTGTGTCCTCCACAAGTTCCAAGAACAGTGTGCAGTGGTCTGGGGCGCAGTTGCAGAGGTGATAGCAGTTGGGCCAGCCAGGGGTTATTATGGCTGGTGGGAGGACACTGCTGCAGTGGAAGGTTTGAGCAGAGAATGTGACGACACAACGTGAGCTGTGTCCTGAGCTGCTGAGGGGAAACACAACGAGCACAATGGCTTCCCTTGTGTTCTGGCTTACACTTTCTATACCGTATAGAATGGCTGCACATGCAGTTAGCTGATTCTGAGAAAGGAGAAATAAATTCAATACAGTTACTAAGGTTTCACATCTAATCTTCCCATTTATGAAATACCACATTTAAACAGAGTGCACAAACCCTTGGTAACTTGACAACCTTGAAACTGGGAAAAATTTAGCTTAACAAAAATATGCAAATTCTAAAACAAAGAGCTGAAAAATGCTCACTGAGCCAGGCTGAAATACAATGAAAGTCACCCAGAGGGAAACACACAGGTGAGACACAACCTTCCCATAACCCAAGAGCTCATTTCCCAGAAACAAAGATGATAATAAATGTAAAAAGAAAACCAAAAACCAATGTGGATTTTAAAAAGATAGTGCCAACCCCTACATATGTGCAATTCAGTCATAGTTCTAGAGATAAAAATATTGTAAGATTATAAAAATGAAAATCCACAGTACCACATATTAGCTGATATGACTGAAAATGGATAGATGGTTTAATGTGCAAAGACCAAAATAAGAGAGTCCTTAAAACACCTCAGTGATGACACTATAGCCAAGAAAAAAAGTTTCAGCCTCCTA